GTAAGAAATTAATGCACCAATGTGTCCAGAGCCTAGTGAGGATTTGGGATTTATGCCAAGGTCCAGGAAGGAAACTGTTGGAAGATTTTTGGCAAGAGAGTGAGCTGATCCGATTTGTATGAAGAGGCCAGCATGGCTGCTACATGGAGAATGGGCTGGAATGGGAGTACAGGAGCAGTCAGGGAGACCAGGTGGGACTGTGCTTTCATGCTTGAGAAGTGGCTGGTTTAGTGTGGTGATGGAAAGAAATATATGTCAGGGAGCAATTTGACAGGATTCACTAACTGAGGAGATGTGGCTGGAGAGGAAGGAGGCTGCAAAGGAAAGGAGAGACTAAAGGATGGGGTTTGGGGACTTTCAGCGGCAGGGTAGACAGTTGAGAGGCAACAGAATAGAGTGACCGAGCTGCCACTGCAGACCCGCGCTGCAGGGCCCATGTCCAGCACGGCTCCTTAGCTGTTATGTCCCCTTGGGCACCCTTCTCATCTCTCTGGTCTCAGTTTTCTCAGCTGTCACAGGGCACTGAGGGCTGCTTTGAGGACAGCCCTCATAGGTGTTCACCTTTTAGTATGATTATTGTGTTGGTGCCATTTGTTGAAGTGGGAAAATCTGTAAAAGAAATCGATATAAGGCTAAGGGAGAACAACAAAAAACAAAGCTTTTGATCTGTTAGAGTTGAGATAACTTTTGGACAGCAAAGTGGAAATATCAAGAAGGCAGCTGGAACATGGACTCTTACCTTTCACATTAGGGGATAATATCCAATTATTTCATCTTATTTCCTTTACTTTGATTAGCAGGGACAACAAGGGCCTTTCTGAAGGTTTATTCAAAGCAGCTGAAGAAGAAGGATCATTACTATTAGCTGAGAGTAAAAGGAGCAGTATAGTGTTTAAGGAGATGTAGGGGTGTTCTTGTTACTCCTTCCAATTCCTCCCACCCTAATGAAGGTGAAGATGAGAATTGGGTGGTGAGGGGCAGACACAGAAAGAGTGGCTTAACTGGCATGGGGTATGGGTGCGGGTGGGAGCTGGTCAGAGAGGAGTTCTTGGGATGGTAGACTCCCTGAGGGAACAGGTTTTTAAAAATAAAATCTCAGCCAAGGTTAATTGTACACATAGTAAAATAACAAATAAAAGAAGTTCTATTGTTCCTGCCTCTAGATATGGAAAAGTGTGTGTAAGAATCTGAACAAAGAGTGAACATTGTGGTAGGGCTGCTGAATCTCAAAATATTTTTTACAGAACATTTTTCTTTGATTTTAAAGCAAATATGTAAAGCATTGGAAAATACTGGAATACCCACACACAAAAAAACAACATAGCTCTATTTTAATATATCCTTATAGTCCATTTTTCAAAGTAATGTGTATTTTTAAACATATTTTTACTTAGTGATATATCCTGGATGTTTTCCCTTGTCATTACATGATAATTATTACATAATTATTATTTTATATACATAATTAAATAATATATATGTAATTAAAATACTATATACATGGCTATATAGTATTCCAATCTGTGGAGGTACTGTAATTTATTTACTAACCCCTCATTTTTTAGATTACCCAAAACTTTCATTTTTATAACTAAGGTATTTTGAAATTCATATAGATAAATCTTTCTACTTACATACAATTATCTCTTTAGGATAATTTTTGTTAGAATCAAATGTGTATAACTTTAAGACTTTTAAATACGTAAGGACTCATCATCTTCCAGTGGGATTATACTGATTTATAATCTCAACAGTGTTCGTGAATACCCATTTCTCTACTTCCTAGCCAATACTTTGTATTATAATTTTTAAAAAATTACTAGTTTAACTGATGAAAAATTATACCCTTGTATATTTGGCTGTTAATACTCTTTCCTTTATGGCTCTCCTGAGCATAGCCTTTGCCCACTTTTCTAGTGGTATGTTAATCTTTATATTTTATTCTTTCTTTTCTAACATTTTATTTGGAAATAATTTCCAACTTACAAAAAGTTGTAAATACAATGATAGTACAAAGATCACACAAATAAACGGTCCTTACTTATATTTACCTGTTATTAACATTCTAACCCATTTGCTTTCTCCCTCTCTCACTGTGCACGCGCACACATACACACACACACACACAGTTTTTTTCCTGAAGGATTTGAGGATGAGTTATATACAATATGACATTTTACCTCTAAATACTTCATCTTGTCTTTCCCTGGGAGGGTGATACTTCACAAAACCATGATAATTAGTTTCATAAATTTACATACAACACTTTAATCTACCATCCCTATTCCAAATTTGTTAGCGGACCAAATATAGCATTTTCTCTCCTAGCATACAATACAGGTAAGGTCACCCTACTTGGCACATCCCTTTAGCTTCCTGAAATCTGGAGTATTTCCAGTCCATCTTTGTCTTTTTATGACATTGACATTTTTGAAGAATACAGAACACTTAATACTTAAGTAAAAATGTTTTTCATTTTGTATTGGTCTGATGTTTCCTCTTGATTGGATTACAGATATGTACTGTCAGCCAGAAAATCTCATAGACAGGGATGGACCCTTCTCAGGGTATCACATCTGGAGGCTCCTGTCTTGCTGATGTTAATTTTGATCACCTGGTCAGGTGCTGCTCAACTTTCCACTGCATTATTACTGGGGGGGTTTGTTCCCTTTCAACTCGTAAGCAGTTTATAAGAGACTAAATGCATGTATATACTCTGCTTCTCATCAAAATTTTTCCCTAGATATAGCATCCATTAATGATTTTTGCTGTATCCAATCTAGACCACAGTGGTTGCTGAAGGATGAGTTTTGCCACTGTAACCTTCTCTTCCCATTTATTAGTCAACCCTCAGCCTTCTACTTTAAGCAAGAACATCTCTTCTTCCCACCATTTATTATTGGTATGAACTCTAACTATGTTTTTCAACTGTTTATCATTTATTTCTGTGCTCAGTATTTTGGTACACAGGTCATCCTAGGCTTAGCCAGTAGGAGCCCCTTCAAGCTGGCTTCTGTGATGTGAGAACCATCTTTTATATGCATTTCCTTACTTCCTGGCATAAAAAGATGTTTCAGATATACCTACTCTGCCCTAGCCATGAAATCAGCCATTTCTCTTGAGCAGTACTGGTTCCTTTGAATGGGAATGGTACTGAGACCAAGATCAAGGCCCTGTGTAAGCTCGTGAGCTTCTTCCTTCTGCTGATGGTTTCCTGGGCTTGTACATAAATCAAACCTATCAAGTTGTATGGAGTTTATTGTATATCAATACAATACCTTAATAAAAAAGCTATTTCACAAAAGGTGGATAATAAAGGAAAAACATGTTTTTAAAAGAAACATGTTTGTAACAGAAAAAGTAAAACTGAAGTATAGTGTTCAGAGATAAAACTTGGGTAGCAAAACTCCAAAGAAAATCAAAGTGATTACCTTCAACTTTATGAAAATGGTTATTTTAGGGAGGAGGGAGTTGGCTGTAACTGGTACCGGACATGAATTTTCTAGGTGAACTGGTAAGGCTTTGTTTTTTGACTTGGATGATAGTTACAAGAGTTTTCTCCTTATAATAATTCATTACATAATAGTTTTATGTAATCCTATATAGCTTACAATTTAATCATATTTCATATAAAAAGGTTAAAAATAAATGAGTGTTCGTGTTCATGATGCAAATAAATTATTTATTAGAAATTAAAATGATTCTACAAGTGTGGCAAACCCATTGATACTCTAGCATATTTCATTGTACAGTTGATAAGCTATTTTAAGGTATAGTCAGATAATGACTAATTAGGGAGTGGTCCATACAATCTTAAACTGGACTATTAATCTTTTTACTATATTAATCGTTTGAGTTTAAAACTCAAATAAGATCAAGACAACTATTTATTTTAGTTTTAGACTTTTCATTTAGTTCCTTTTAATGGTTTCTATTTCTCTGCTGAGATTTGTCATCTTTTCACTAATTAGAGTAGATTTTCCTTTATGTCTTTGAGCAGAATTACAATAATTGCTCCTTCAAATATCCTTGTCAGATAATTTCAATATCTAGGTCATCTCCAAGTCAGTCCCTATTAACTGTCTTTTGAGAATAGGTCATGCTTTTCTGTTTCTTCCTAAATTGAGTAATTTTTGTTATATTCTAGACATTGTGAATGTTATGTTACAGAAATTCTGGTTCTGCTATATTTCTCCAAATTTTGTTGTTGGTGGGAGTGGAGTGTGGGGATCATGTGGCTATAAGCAGGCAATTAATTTGGTTGGCCTCAAACTGCAAACTCTGTCTCTAGGCAACAGCTCAAACCTCAGTTCAGTTCTTTGTCTTTAAGGAGGCAGCTTGGAGTCTGCACTGTGCATAGTTCCAGGCTCAGGCGTTCATTCATTCACAGTATCTGGGACCCCCTTTCTTCTGCTCAGTATTCACTCTTCACTTTCCAGCAGCTGTAGTTACCCCAAACACTCCCTAGTTCATCAGGCTGGAATGACTGAGTTGTTTTTTTTTTTTTTTTTTGTCAGCTGTCTATCAAATTTTAGTTCTCCTGCCCTCAGGTTTAAAATCTTCCAGCTTTTTGCCACTTTCTAATGCCTTCACATAGGGGTTTTTCTTTTCTTTCCTTTCCTTTTTTAACATTAACCAAAGTTTAGACTTTTTAATTAAATGTAGATTAGTCTAATAGGAGTTTACTTGGCCACTATAGAAATAGACTGAATGTTTATTTCTTTAAAGAAATAATAATATGAAGATGCTAAGAATTTTTTTCTGTGGATGAATATAATAATGATATAGAAAAACACATATAGTTGGACTAACAGATTGGGGGTGGTTTTGGCAAAGAAATACCCTTTGACTATATATTTCTCGTTTCAAAGATAATCTGTATATATAATCACAACTAGAATAAGCAAGGTAATAAGGGAAACAATGTTAAAAGAAAGGAAAACATTTGTACTTTAGCTATTTTGAAATAAAATATCTGAACCTCTTTTGTATCGTTTTAGGAATAAATATAATGAAGCTGATGACTGTCAAAGAGAACTCAGAAAACTGAAGTTTGAATCCATTATTTCTGAGTCACGGTATATACTGCACATATTTTTAATTAATATTTTTAGTAATTGAATTTGAAACCATATTTTAAATAACATTTTATTTTAAAATAGTTATATATAACTTCATTAAATAAATATTAAATATAGAAAAGTTATTAAATAACTTTTCTTATTATATTTTTGCATATGCAATACCTAATTCAAGTTTATAAAATCTTGAAGCTATTCATTGATTTTGCTTTCTCCTAGGTGGGAAATTTTAATATCACAGAGCTAGCTGCTTTCTTAGCATCCTAAATTTTTTTAAGTTAAAATTACAGTCTTTAGTTTCAAATGGTATTTTCATGTCTTTGGTAACCATAAAAATATCATATCTAATGTATATTTTTTTCCTATTCCATTTTAGACACACTAAATTGCTTAAAGAAAAAGAAGACTCTTTAGTGGCTAGTCAACAAATACATAAAACTTTACAGGAAGAACTAACTGCAAAAGAAAGGCAAAAAGAAGACATAAAAAGAAGAATTACCCTTGCAGAAAATGAACTAGAGAGAACCAAAACTCTTCTGAATCAGACAAAGGAAGAGGTTGTAACACTGAAAAGTGAAAGGTGAAGTCAAGAATAATTTCTTGTAAAGACGTTTTATGTTTAAGTCAGTATTCCATATATATTTGAAACTTCATGTCCTACATATTTTAATGACTGTGAAATCACGGGATTAAAGATGTATTTCACCTGAAAGGTCATCAGATCCCACCACCACATTTTACAAATGATTAAACTGAAGCCCAATTTGGTTAAATGACTTACTTAACATCATAGTTAGTGAAAGTAGAGATAGAACCCACATTGAATTTGGTGTTAGATATTTATTGAAAAGAATCAAAAAGACAATGTGTGATATGTATACTACTGAATTTCACCCGAGCCAATAATTGGTGGATTCTATCATAGTCCAACAGATCAACATCTTTTTATTTCATTTGTTCCTTTTATTGGCTCCTACTTTCCTTCTGTTTGTTATTTGTCAATACTTCTTACTGAGGACTCTCCATAAAGATACCTCTCGGGTTGAGGTAGCATCAAGGACATAAGAAGCATATTTGTCCAGCCTTCCTAGATTTTTTTGTTTATTAACTTGTCTTTAAATTAACTTTATTTGGACTTAATATAACCTTATTTGGACTTACTATATCAACCCTACTTTCTTTCTCCTTTGTTTTCATTTGTCTGGTATGTCTTTATTCATTCTTTCTGACTCTTTTTGATTTAAATGGATATCTGATATATAGTACAAGTTTTGCTTTTGACTTTATTGGTTTTTAGCAAATCCAGGAGTCTTTAATAGAAGTTATTATCCCATTTACATTTATTGATATAACTGTTATACTCCAGAAGAACACAAGTTCCATAAGGGCAATGATTTTTCTCTGGGCACAGAAGGCACAATTGGCTATTTGTTTTTTATTCTTTCCATCATGTTTTATTTTATTTTTTATTTTATTAATTTCCTCTTATGAATATTTGACTGCTTCTAATTTAGGAGATTTGTGATCTTTTTTTTAGTTCTTTATAAGAGCCACCATCTTCTCCCAGAGCAAGAGTCTGGGAGTGGGACCATGAGAGTAGGTTGCACACAGCTTAGAAGCAGTTTCATTGTCTCAGAACTTTCTTCCACCACTCTGCCCTAGGTTATAGTTGTCTCTACTCCAGGCTAATACACAGGTAAGCAAGTCTTATCTCTGGTCTTATTTATGATCTTGGGATGATAAACATTAGCGTTCTTTGATTGAGTAAGATGAAAAATTGCAGAGCTGATTGCCACACACCATTTCTTCCTCATTCTGCCACACCAATTATAGCCTGCTTCTTGCAAAGATGATGTACCTTGTAGGCATATGACTCTTCATTCCACCCCACCACCTCTGTCATTTCAGTTATGTAGCTGCTCAGCCCATAGCATTTTAGAAGCACCAATAAGTAGGAAATTCCCAAGAGCTGTACTTCACTAATAGTAACAAGAAGAAATGTCAGCTGAAAGACTGACCATACAAAAGAAGAGAGAAAAACTATAAATGCAAAAAAAAAAAACTTTAAAAGCACTGCAGTTTGCCCAATATACAATAGGAACAAATAACCCCACATATATTAATAACCTTAAGCTTCCCTGTATGTATAACATGGGTTAATAATTGACAGCCGCGATGATGGCCCTGAGTCAGAAAGATTAAAATCAGCTACATATTCTATACAAGAGATACAGACACCATGAAAAAAATAAAAAATTTTACAGTCCTCTGTTTATAACTTTGGTTATCTGAGCAATATACTTTTCAATGATATCAGATTAATTAGATTAACTTTATCCAGATGAACGCTGTCTCCTTCACAGTCGTCACTGAAAAGATCCTATCTTTGTTCAGACATTTCTGCAACTCTTTTCTGGGGATTGACCTAAGTGTACATGTTTTAGAATATCCTCAGTGCAATGACTCTGCCCGTTAGGAATAAATTTGATTTTTAAAATAATCTCAGTAGGTCCAGTGAAGCAAGTCCAGTGAATATGATTGGAAATGAGCCTGGAAAATGCCATCTGGGATCAAAAATAAAATAAAATTTTTTTTCTGTGCTTAATAAATTATCTCTGGCTGCAATTTGAAGAAGGCAGTTTTATGAATGCTTAGGATTAATAACATCATTAAAATATATCTAGGGCTTTCTTGATGGATTGCTTTGAAATAGCATACTCACCTGGATGTATATGTTTTACCATTTTTAAAAATGTAGTATGATTCTAACCTTACCTTCTGTGATCAGTGCTGAATGAGAAGTATGATTTCTTGTTTTCAGACAATAGAGACATCACTGAACTACCTTCTCTCCTTCCTCCCCCAACTTTTTTTTCTCTCATACCCTTGCCCTTTTTCCTTTTCTGCTCTCTATACTTTATCTCACGGCAGGCATGGTAACACTTAGTCATTTGGTGATGCCAAGTTTACTGACATGTCTGTCACATAAGGAAAATTAAAATGTGCTTATGTACCAGTAAGTTATCACATTACAGTAGGATGACTCCTAGACAAAAGCATTGTCCTTTGTCTTGGTCCTCCGTCACATTTAGATCCTTATCCTTTATTGTATCCTCAGAGTCTGGCACATGTATCCGTTCCATAAGTATTTGTTAAGTGAATGAATGACTTGCTTTGGTTAATTAGATTATTCATCAATTATTTGTTGCTCATTTACTATCATCCAGGTACTATGTACCCTGGGGCTACAACAGTGAATCTAATCTAAAACATCCCTGTCCTCAAGAAGCTTACATTCTAATGGGAGAGACAGACAGTAAAAAAATAAAAGACAATAGAGAACTAACTAGAATAATTATACATTGTAATAATGGACTGACATAAGTAAAGGGGATTGTAGGGAAGACTGAAAGACTCCCCTTCTTTTACGAAAGTCATAAATATGACTTCCAAAGTGTTGCATAAAGGCAGACAATAGGAGTTATTAGATGTCTTGCCAATGGGTTTCAGCCTCAGGCAAGTTCGCTGTGGATTCAATGTGACCAAAGAAATAGACAGCAAAACGTTCTTTGTGGTGAAAGGGTTTATTACCCGGCTTGTTCTCCCAGCAGTAGGTCGAGCACCAGCATCTCTGCCTCTGCCCAGAGCACTGGGCTGAGCTCTCTATATAGAGCCATAATAGCTTATTGCCTAAAGGTGTGGAAGCTGTAGCCTAGCAACAGGCCAGTTACATCATCAGGTGGTTTAAGTTCAGTGAGGATCCTGGTCATAGGAGGAACCCCAACTTCCCCACACCAGGCCAAGAACCTGGAAAGAGCCTCACAGGCAAAGAATTTGGTGAGTTCTTGGAACTGGCTGTGTGACTGGAGGCCTACTGTTGTGAATGAGGCAGGCAACAGCCAGATCATGAAGAACCTTGTGGGCCTTTTGGGGTTTGGGTAGTAGTTTCAGTGCAATGAAAAGAAACCATTGAAGGGATTGAAGCAGAGGAGCGACACTGTGGAAACCTTCTTCTGGAGCTGGGTATGGCATTGGCAAGGCAAGCAAGTCGGGTCATTTACTGCTTTGATGTTAATCAAAGGATCATTTTTTGTAGAGTTAAGCCTAAGAGACATGAGAAAAATGAAAATCTTCAGCTCACACACACTGCCAGTTGCTTTTGTATTTTTTAAGTGTCTGTACCAAGTGGATGGCAGCAAAATATCTGGGGCTTACTCTATGTTGAACCACAGGGGACATAGAAAAGCCAAGTTAAAAAGACATCCAGAAGAACAATGACCTTTCAGAAGCGTTTGACATTAGTGCCCAAACCTGCCTTAAAACTTTATCTTCCTTGGCTGCAGGGGAAACGTGTTATTCTGTCCCTTTCCTGCCTCTCTATCGGTGTTTGCCCTTCCCTCCTGCAATCACCTGGCAGCAGACATTCCTTAAGGTTCATGCATGAACTTGGCTTTCCTCTCTCTGCTTTCTTCCCTTCAGTAAACTCTCTCTCAGCTTAGCAAGTTTGCTCTTGAAGCTGAGATTGGAAGCACTGGTAGAACCTGTAAGTAGAGACATCCCTAAGCAGCTGGAGATGCTAAAGTCCCTCCATAAGAAGCTGGGCTCTGGGAAAACTTTTAAAAAGGAGATGTTTGGTGACACCTGCAGATATTCTTGTCCAGTAGGGCTGGGCGGTGCCCAGGGATCTGCTCTACAGCTTTACACCACCATGAAGAACTGCGACCAACCAGGCTGCTAAATGTGTGCACCAAAGGCCAAAGGCCAACTCCCTCCTGCAACAGTGCGTGCTTCCCTCAACTCAGGCAGGCAGACGGCTTGCTTCCCTAAACACAGCGCCCCTCCTGCACCCTCCTCCTAACAGCAGAGCCCTTGCTGAAGTTCCCCTGGACCATTATGAAATACATGCAATTTAGAAGCTATGCAGAGAGGAAACAAAGATGTAAAAAGCCAGAACCAACGCTAGAAAAAAAGCAGCAGAACTTCTGAATTTGGAGCAGGAAAGTTGTTAGTGACCAGGAAATAATTCATATATTAGTACAAATGTGTTTAATTATGGACTGCTTTCTCTCCCACCCTCATCTGAGGAAGCTCTTTTAGGAGAAGAGGCCCCACTGGAAAGAAGAGAAGTAGGTCCTTCAAGATCACAGATGCTGTGGGTAGGGAAGGTCTGCCCAGCTTGGCCACAGACACCCTGAGGCTGGAGAGAGGGGTCTCCTTTGTGAGGGGCAGGGAGGCAGCAAGGCACCGGGGACAGTGCCAGGGAAAGGTGTGACTGGTTTTTAATTCTGTGTAAAGTGAGCCCTCAGCTCTCATGTTTCTGGGTTATGGTCCCTTCAGCCAGAGCCAGAACTCTGCCTAGAACTGTTAATTTGTCGCCCCACTCAAAGGCACTGTGGATTAAATAGGGTTCTGGTGGGCTAGTGTGCAGGCCTAATTCCATTTTTATGGGAAATTATTTCTATGGCAAAATGTTTGGATTTCCCTATAACTTACAAATATATTTTATAAGGACATATGTGTTTAAGCTTGGAGACTGCCCATGTATAACACTTAGAGAAATTCGTTTATGCGTTAGCATGT